CCAACTCGGAACCCCAGTCACAGTCTAGTGGTGCCCCCAAAACCCGGCCAATCACCACCCGGGGCAAATCACTCGCCTCCAGCAAGCATCAGCAGACGGCTGCGTCCAACACATCGCGGCCAAACTCTCCCACACTTTCTTCCTCTGCACACCGTCCCCAACGCAAAAAACGGGCTGCTGTTGATGATGCCAGTATGCCGGGACGCCTCGTTCCAGAAGAGCCACCTGTCAGCAAATCTTTTACTACGCCGTCCGCCAAGAACAGTCTTCAGGCGCAAATGCTCGATGGCTACGAGGACAGCTGGGATCGCCGGCGGGATGCTCAGAAGGTGACCAACAATTACACGGCCCTTGAGAGTTCAATCAGGGATGGCTCAGAGGAGCAGGTGTCGACGCCTGCCAAGTCGACGCGGAGGTCGACGCGACAGTCCCTCAACGCGCCCCCGAGCACTCGGGCGACTCGCTCGGCTCGCAAGAGATCCATCGAGGTCAGCGACAGGACTGCATCCCCTGTGTCCGTCGTGAATCACGGTGGTGAAGGAAGCTCAGTCATCGGGTCGCGTGCTGTCACGCCGACAAACCTGCCGCCGGCCAAGAAGCAGAAAACTGGTCTCCGCGTGAAGCTATCGTAAGTCATCGCCCGCATCACTCCTTTCATCTCCTTTCAATCCTGTTGCTCTGCTCTTGCGTCTTTCAGAAGATGCGAGGCCGCAGCATGTTGTTGTGCCACTTGTGATTTTTTTTCACTTGTTGACCCAGGAAAAACGCGACATTCAAATGGCCACTGTTTGCTGACTTGTTTTGATTTTCATCTATAGACCTATCAAGAAAAAAGGAGGAACTGCTGCTGGTATCCCTCGTCTACAAGGCGAAGGTCTGACTGGAAGTGCTCAGGGCGCTCAAAAGGAACAGGTTCGTGTTGACTTCATTTTTTTTTCATTCTCCCCTTGACCCCGGTTTATCCCATCCACCCACCACCTCAGGGGCCGACTGGCCGCCATCAGCCCTTTCCTTTGTTCATCACCACTCTTTCACCATCATCTTAAGGGAAAGCAATGATATCATCGCGGTCTGGCCAGCGGCTTTGGAATGGACGGTGTGCCGGTTGGAACTGCAGGGCGCATGAAGAAGCATAGACTTGCTTGCTTTGCTTCCCGCCACCCATCACGCAGGTCTCGGCCCCATAGTGAAATTGGCGCACCATCCAGGCCAAGCCAGCACTGGCCAGACCAGGGATGGATTCCCTCCCCTCCCCCCCAAAATGCCCAGCCCAGCCACCCGTGTTATTGGGTGAGATGTGCACTTCGCGTGCGTGTTATTTTTCGATGGATCGGTCTCATGGACCGCGTCTGCAGGGATCTGCCGGCAACCCGTTTTTGAGTTGCTGTGGACAAATGAGAGTGTCTCTTGCCAACGACTGCTTACGTCGATACCTTTCCTCCTTGATTCTGATGGACACTTGGCTTTGGATCTGTGGCTAACATTGTCTTACTTGCTATCATTCGTTTAGGCTTCTGATAATGATGAATACTGCTCGGCCTGCGGGAATGTGGGCGACGTGGTTTGCTGCGATGGCTGCCCCAGGTCATTCCACTTCGAGTGTGTCGATATGGACCGTGACGAAGACCTGCCAGCTGAGTGGTACTGCAATGAGTGTCTGGTGAAGAATTTCCCGTCGCGCGTCCCCGTGCACAAGGGAGTCTTTGGAGCCGCCCTGAACAACTTGGAAAAATGCATTCCCCGCGCCTTTAGCCTACCTAAGAAGTTACAGAACCGATTTGAAGGTGTACGCGCTGGAGCCGATGGTGACTACGAGGAGGTTTCCAGCAACCGGGCAGCGCGGAAGAAGACCGCCGGCTACGAGGAAGCGCCCGATTTTTTCAGGCAGCGAGATGATGGTGAGGCTGTGCTGTGCCACGACTGCCAGAAGCCTGCCACCGACATCCGCGCCATCATTCCCTGCAGTGTCTGTTCGCTTTACTGGCACACGGATTGCCTGGACCCTCCGCTGGCTGTGCCACCTGTACTCAAGACATGGCGCTGTCCAGCACACGCCGATGAGTTACTAGCTGAAGCCCCTCCCCTTGCGCCAGCACATCGTTTCCGTAAAATCAAAGGCGCCCATATCATCACGCCCGCTATTGGCCGAGGCCTCAAGAATAATGGCCACATTGAGATTGACTGGAGTGAGGAGCCCGACCTGGCCGATCATTCTGGGTGGAAGGACTATGCCTCCTTTGGCCGCACTTACAAAATACCCGCACAGGGTGTTGTCTTAGACTTCATCGAAAGGTATGTTCATATACTCGCCCTGCTTGAGTGTTTCTTTTTCGCCTTTTAGAAGCTGACTTGGGTCTATAGGATGCAAAAACAGAAGCATGCCGTTACTGCTGTGCATGAAGACGAGCCTCGGAGAACAGCGCCGTATCTCACACCGCCTGTTGAGGATCGCGATCAACCACCTCCGCCCAATAAGGTGCCTGAGCGAACCGTTGATGAGATGCAGGCCTCGCTTATCCTAACAAGTTTATGTCAACCTCCCGCGCAAGGTGTCGATCAACTTACGTCTGCTCTTCTGGCATCCGCCGATTCAAACGTTATTGCCTTGATTGCCCAGGGCAACGCGGCTAATATTGCACGCGAGCAGCTGGAGTCAACGGATAAACTCAGTCTACAGACGCTTCTCGCACAGATGGAGAATATGTCTGCTACCATCCGGCAAATTCTGACTGGAGAAGACTCGACGACTCTTGGAGCCTCCGCGATCCAAAATAAGACAGCTGCGGTTTCGATTAAGCCCGATCCCCTTCTCGTTGAACCAACGCCACCGTCTACCATTGACCACACTGAAAGTGTGATGGATCTAGATTAAGCAGTCGTTGACAGCCTGGTGTTGATCAACGATTTCGCTACACTTATTTAATATTAACAGGCCTGGTCTTCTCTGGCTGGTTGTTTTTGTTCTCAGACACATGAAAACACTTCACTTCCTTCGACTCATCCGTCACTGGGCCATCATCAAGATGTAGAATTATTTCACGTGGCAGCTACACGTCACCAGCTGCTGCTTAATACCCACCCTCACCCCCACACCGCCATCCCAGTCTCGACGGTTTTCCTGCCGTCACAAAACCAACAACATTCGAACGCCCTAGCAGGCAACTGCTTCCAAAAATACCAGGTAGCAGGCACGTCTGATAGGAAGAGTCTGGGATTCTAGAATTCGGGAAAGGAGCAACGTGCAAATCGAATTATTGGACATAGACAGGTCCAGTCCAGGGCCCTGGATGCCCCTTTCCCCATATTCTTTTTGCATCGCACCAGCCCTGTCGTTTTTTATATTACTCACCCCAGCCATCTCTCCGACCCCTCTAGTTGTTTTATTTCCTTTTCTTAACGTGTATTGATCGGTTTTGCATGGCCAGGTGGACGGAAAAAGAAGGCCACACGGGAGAAACCCCCTTCAGCAAATGAATAAGCGTGTTCATTGCTGCGAAGCTAGCATTTTCCTTTTCCTTTTCCTACTATTTCCCCATTTTTCTTGTCGTTTTGTCACTCTTCAAGCTTATGTATCATATGGAGCGAAAGGCGAGGAGGATTACAGACCGGCGGATATTAGGCAAATGTGAACCCTTGAAGCGCTGTTGATGCTTCTTTTTGTCAACTGTTTTGAACTCATCCTAATGTGCACTGTAATAGTAAGAAACAGGTTCCGACCGGAGCTTCTGTCCCTGGTGATTTGCCCTTACCAATACTCCTTGTAGTCAACTTATGTTGTCATATAGTGTGCTTGCCGGGATATGTCAACGGCATTCACAAGTAACGGAATATTGATTGATTCGTGCAAGTAATGCTTTTTGTAATTTTGCAGCAGTAACACTAATAATATACATTCAACTCGTAAAATCCGGGGTAGCAGCACATCGTAAGGTGACGCACGCCAAGAAGAAGGATGCGGAAGAGCAAGGTAGAACAGGTGATTCTCTTCCCTCCTGACAAGAATCGTAACAGCAGACGTAAAACTTCATTCCCTGTCAAAAACCAACGCACAGATCAAGTGTGATGGGCGAGTTTGGCTCCCTCTTGAAATCAAATCCCTCCCGGGCGTCCCGTTCCGTCCCGAGCTTCCGATCCCACCACCACTGTTCCACTGTTGTATTGAACTGGCCATCGTCCGGCCCATTCTTTTCCCCATGGAAATCAAGAAATCCTCGCCTTCGCGAGAAGTAAGAAAAGAGCGACAGTAAAGCAACTACTCCGCTTAGTATGAAATCCCTCTCTACCGGTAGATCCCACACACGACGAGATAGAAAAATGACGAAAAAGTAGTCGTAAGAGAAGGTCCAACCAACCTGGACCTAAAAGGCCCCCTGGATAAAAGAAGAGATGGAGGGCCTCACGGAGGCCGCTTGCTTTCCATTTATCCTTCCTAACAAAGCATGAAGAGTTACCTCGATATCTCCCCACCGAATCGTTTTACAAGACGTTCATTCGTCCTGGGGTTGACGAGCCAGAGGACGTGTGAAAGAACGAGCACGTCATTCCTTCTCTGCCACTCTGTGCAACCACCTGGGTCTCCAGCCAAAAATTACCCCTTGGCCAGCCAGGGATGATGAACATTTTGTCTCTCCAGAATCAAGTATGAACAAGAAAAGTCAGGCATTCGCAAGGAAAAACTATCGAGCCTTGGAATGGCATTGATATAAAAAAATCGAGGGTCATCCACAGATGAGATGGCCCGCTTGGTGGAAAGCAGATACATGGGAAGCTCGAAAGTCAATAAGTTATGCTGCCGTCCCTGTACTCTTCATTGAATCGCCGATAATGAGTTTTGAACTTCCAAAATGATTGCTCTCGAGTTCGTGCTGGAGGCATGCTGCTGAACGTAAAAATTGATGTTTGAAGTATGAAATCCTCTAAAATGAAATCGCTGATACTAATGATGGGGTGAGGTAGGCCCGGTCATGTTTACCTCTGCGAAATCTTTGTTAGAAGCAATACTAGATGTCATTTTTAGAAGGATAACTTACGCGGCCACGTCTGCTATTGCCCTGATCCTGCTGGGGAAAATTCATCCCCCCTCCTACGTTGCCAAATCCATAGCCTCCCATACCCACACCGAAGCCTGGGGGAGGGAATGAAGCCTGGCCGCCAGAAATTGGAGGCATAGGCCCAGAGGATGGTGGACCAGAGCTACCGTTTGAGACCTGGCGGAACTGGTCCATAGATGGGTTGCCGTTGGGGTAAACTCCATAGCCTCCTGGCACTTGCGGGAAGTTGTAGTTCATGGAGGGAGCACCACGACCAAGCATGTTTTGCTGGTAAGAGAGCTGCTGTAGGTTTGGCATTCCTGGGGTTCCATACATCAGACCAGGGTTGAACGGCGGCATGGATGAGACAGTGCTCGCCTCAGAAAGATCGCCTCTCGATTGAGGGAATGCAGAGTCAAATCCTGACACATTTGAAGGCTGATTGTTCTGATTATAAAACGACTTGTTGCCGCCGTTGCCTTGCTGCCCTTGGTGACCGTTAACGCCGCCACTGGCTTGTCTCGAACTTGGTCGCTGACGCTGTTCCGGGTGTGCACTAGAATCTCGGCTGGCGCCGCCATTTCTCGTAGACAAGCCAACCTCATCCATAAGACGCTTGTAACCCTGATTGGGCTGGGCCTTGATCCTGACGAGTACATTCTTGACATTTTCCACAACTTGGCTGCGCAGAGCCTCGTCGAAGAAAGGCATGGTAAGGACCTTGAAGATAAGTGTCGCACCACAGTTAGAGTCGCTGAGAATAGCCTCAAGAACCTGGTCATTTGGTGAGAGGAAGAGGGCCTTGAGAACGGAGTCGCGGGCCTCGGGCTCAGCTTTCTGGTTCACAACCTTGAGCACTGTCAGATAGGCAACCTTGTGAGTGCAGAGATGCACCAGATATGGGATAATGCGAGGCGCAAGAACCGTTCGTCGCTGGGGGAACGTGCATGTATCCAAGTACCATGTCAAGAGGAGAGCGCCGTTCTGGTTGGTGGCAAGGTGAACGCTGTGGATAGCGATCAGTGCTGCCAGCATCCTCTGCTGTTCTTTGGTTGAGTGGTGACTCTCAAGACAAGCGCGCATAGCACGAGCGCCAAAGCGACCCTGAGAAAGTTGCGACATGCGGCTCATCATTGTCTCGAAAATGAAGTCATTGAATGGCATATTGAACTTGAGGCAGCATTGAAGAACGTAGTTGCCGTACTGGTCCAGGAACAGAGGGACCGTGTACGGACGAAGGTTCTCAGTGATGGCAGTCATCTGAGTGCTTGTCTTGCAAACATCAATGATCTTCTGGGCTGCCCAAGTTCCGTTCTTGTGAACGCCGATCTCAGCCATGTGAGGAGCAATCTCGTTCAACATCAGGTCGCGGATCTGGTCAGAGCAGTGCTCAAATAGCTTTTGAACGACCGTGTTACCGAGGTAGTCCGATGCCAGTTCCGCGATTTCAGGGAGCATCTCTACAGCGGCATTTTCAATGTCTGTTTGAGACAAGGTCTGGTTATCGATGCGCTTGCGAATGTCGCGGAGCTTTGGGGCGTCATGGACTCGCGTGTGTGAAGGCTCTCGGATAGGAGGAATCTCATCGATAAAGGAGGTGAACTGAATTGAGGACTGCAGGTTGTGGGAAATCCGGGCCCTGTCTGTCTCGGAAGCTCCAAAGTGGGATACAATCTCGAGAATGTCGGCAGTGATCTCACGCAAGGCTGGGGGCGTTGGAGGACCGTTGCTGTTCACAGAAGCAGCAGCATCGCCAATGGTACCGGCAGCTACCACCTGAGAAGGTTCGTGGCCCTTGGCGAATGGATCCGGACTGGGGGAAGGGAATGCGCCATCGTGTCCGGGGGTATTGCCCGGCGAGACGGGCTTTGCGAAATTGATCCGGATAGGGCTCGCTCCTGGAAAGATCTCCTTTCCATTCATGTTTGCCTTGGCAGAAATGGCGCTCTCAACTCGCTCAAAGTTGACGAACCCGCAGTTCTTGTGAGTGAGAACACGAACGGAAACAATAGGTCCATGCGACTTGAACATCTCGACCAACGTCGAGGTCGTCGTGGAGGTTGGGATATTGCCCAGCCAAAGAGCGCTTGTAGGACCTTCAAGGCCCTGGTCTTCTACGCCGAGAAGTCCAGCATTGCGACTGCTCGATCGGCCGAGGCTCAGCCCAGCAACTGCTTGAGGAAGATCCTCGAATTTCTTCTCTTCTTGCAGACGAAGCTCAGCAGCAGCAAGTGGGTTGGCAGAACCAGGAGTGGGACCGGCGAGGAATGAGTTCATCAGATGTGAGCCGGGGGCGTCGAGAACACCGGCAGTTCGGGCGCGTCGTCGGGTCGACGATGCCTGGTTAGCAAAAGCCTGCACGGCCAAGTTGTGGTTACGAATGGCGGCATGTGTGGCCGCGAGCTGATCCTGAAGGGCTGCTGCGTAGTGTTGCTCGTTGACGGGAAGACCATCGATCTCGTACTCATCATCGGGATACTCATCCGCATGCACATCTTTGTTGTTGACGGAATAGGAACGGATGCGACTGGCCTGTCGGGCAAAATCCAAGTTTGGTATGTACGGTGTGGCAATCTGAGCTCGAGCTTGCTGTGGGGTTTCGGCGAGTCCAAGATAATCAAGCGTTCTCATATGAACATCTGAATCGTTGCCGCCCTCCCTGGAAAAATGCGATTGAGAAGGCGAGCTGGGACCGTTCGAAGGGACACTGGCAATGCTTGCAAGCGTCGATGCTCGCTCACGCCCAACTCCGGTGGGATTCCAGCTACTGAAAATCGAGGGGCCAAAAGGCGAGCTTGTACCGGGCAAAGGAGCAAATTGGCTGCGCTGGGGGAGGGAGCCAGCTCGAAGTCGAGAAAGCAGGGCAGAGCTACCTGAGTTGCCGTCCACGGCCTCAAGGCCAGGGGAGGGAGTCTTGTTGTATGGGGTTTGCGATGGGGTGTTTCTGGCCGACTTGGCTCCCAGGCCAGGAACGGGCAAATGGCCAGGGCCGGGACCTCCTGGAGGAAATCGTGAAGGGACTGTGCCGGCACGTGCGCGACGAGGTTGATTTTGCGAATCTGGAGCAGGAAGTCCAACAAAGTCGGGGAAACCATCGGTAGGAGACTCGGGTATATTCTCGCGCAATGGGGTAGAGTTCCCGCTCGTTGGAGGGCCGCCCCATGGGTTCAACGGAATCCCAGAAACACCTTCTTGAGCTTGAATCTCGCGAGCCCTACATAAAGCCGTGGTGTCAGCAACAGACCAACAGGGAGGGGGGATGGGACTTCCAAATCTGTTTTTCAAGAATCATGAAGTCCAAGTTTGGTTCTGTGCGGGAAATCTCACCTTTTGGAAAATAATCTGCTAGAACCCCCAAGCTCGTGCGACGGAGAGCCAGCCCCCGAGCGCGAGTTTCCTGACATGATGCTGGCGGAAGAGACACCAGTAGCAAGACCAAAGGGGGATCTGTTCACACCAGCGCCAGGTGTTTCTACAGGCGAATTGTTGACGGAAGGAGATGTAGAACGTGGCTGACTTGGAGGGTGAGAGCCAAAGCCAAGAGGAAAGTTTTCGGATCTAGAAGTTGACATTATCAATTACCTGGCCCCACCTCATGAGACGGGCAGCTTCTATCGTCTCGACTGCAAAGGAGGGAATAATATTGTCGGTCTGTCAAGGTACAATATGTGGCGTATCGTCGGAAGGACAGTAAGTCGGTTGTTAGGTCGACGTGGATAGGAAAAAATATAATAGGTCGCTTCTCCGGTAAGAGGGGAAGGAGGAAAGCGCCGCGTCTCTCGCGGATTCTTGAACAGACGAAGAAGGCTCAGAGACCTGTGGCCATGTATTACAAAGTCGTGCTATTAGCTTCCTCTAGGGAGCTGAAGTCGGAACTAGGCCAGAAGGGAAAGCAGAGCAGGACTGGCTGCCAGCGATGAGCAATCCCCAAAGGCTCAATCAATCGAGTCAATGCCGTGGCCGATCGCAAAGAGGCTAACGAGTCGCGCTCGGAGTCCTGGAGAAGTGAAGCCCAGGATGGTCGATGGGCACGGCTGGGATGGACACGATGCAAAGAAGAGGCGTCTGTTGAGGGTGCTGTTGAACTGAACCCTGGGTTGGTCGATCAGCCGCGAAAGGCAAGGGCTGGCCGCGAGACGTGCCGAACGAAAGGAAGAGGTGGAAAGAAAATGAGAGCAGGAAAAGAGGCACAAACTAAAGTAGTCATGAACAATATACAGGCCTCATTGGGGGTTTGGGGGGGACGGGTTGGGAGAGGTGGGTGTTGAGTCGAGGGATTGGTAGGCCTGGAGAAGGGGATGGGTTGAGGTGAACAGAGAGAATCGTGGATGGATGGAAATGAGGACGTAGCAGCAAAAGTGACGGGCTTGAGCGCCCTGGAGAGAGCGAAAAGTGGTACGTGTGTTGCGGTAGGAGGTACCATCTGTGGCCTGTAAGGAAGGTGGTTGTCACTCCTTAGGCCCCAAGTCCATGTGGCCCTTAGCGTCCGGCAGCCTGTCTGTGACGGCAGTGCCAGGTACCTCTGACAGTACCTGTAGCTTAGTAGGCCCAGTCGTTCACACCGTTTTCAGTGCAGCTGTTAGCAGCAGCCCCCAGAAGCACAAAGGAATACCTAACAGGCAGTGCAATTGTGGAGGGCACAGTAATCACATCCATAGCGCGGCAACTGGTACGTAAGGGACTTCTATATGTAGCAACTAAAGGGCCACCACACGTCTGCAATGATGGGGAAGAGAGGTCTCCAGTACCCATTGACGAGGTGGCTAGACACCCATCTATGTCTTACGTAGCAACAACTTGTGATGCAATTGCAGGCGTCAGCACATCTATACGACATATATCTACCTACCTAGACATTCGGCAGTCGAAAATACCTACGAGAGACTGCTCAAACCCACAAAGATTCAAAGCTAGCGGGTGATCCTAGAGGACACAATGCATCTACGAGTAAGGTAATGATGCTCTATCCCTGGACGGATTCATCAGCTTATTGATTGGCCAGATCCGTCCGGTGAGTGCTGCTTCCTTTAGCACTAGTCCTGCCAAACATGCGCACCAAAATGATATGCCAAAAAAATAGATGACAATAGTAATAATCCCCAACAACGCAGGCATTTCGAAAAGACGTGGGTACTTGGGGTTTGGCAGGTGGGCGCCAAGTCTCCGTGTTCTAGAGGTACCTCATTCAAAGTACACAATAATCCATCTACAAGTGCCTCGAGCGCTTCCGGTGGGTTCTGCATTAACCATCTTGCAGCTTATCATCACAAAACGCAGAAATGCCTTTTCCCATTGGGAGAGAAATTTGCCCC